CTTGTCAAAGTCAGATTTAATCCAGGAACATTATGCCATAGAGGCTGCCCAAGGATTCTCTTTAGGACAACTAAGTTTATTTGACGGAAGTAGGTGCCACTTCTTCACCTTCAGTGAAGGCTTCACTGAGACGTATTAAAAGCTCATTAGCGAGCTGTGGCACTGACTGAGGTTGACGCATTTGAACTTTAAACAAAAATTCAATTACCTTTAGGTACAAAATCGAAATTAAAGAAAATCCACTTTTTTTTAGATTTTGTGACAATACGGAAATGGCTGAAAATGTAAAAATTGTAACAGCGTAACATTGACCAAATCAAACTTTAATGAAATAAAAATTTACAAAGTTTACAAAATTTACAAAAACATAAACTCAACGTCGAACCTCTCGACATACCTGTATTATAGGAAGTTACAACAAAACATTTTGTTATTTTCGAATTAGACCTAAAATAAAAAGGTAAAATATCTCACTGGGGATAGGGCAAATCCACAGCGCGTCGTATCTACACTAAATCAAATTTTACAGAAGAGGAATTTAACGTTAGTACTTTTTTATTTAAATGGCTACGATTTTTATTTTTGCACTGTAAGCATATTAATTCATGTTGTCTACCGAGTAATAACTATAGATTCCCTTAAATCATGTTAATTTGGTTGCCACGACATGTACGCGGATTGATTTCTACATTCTGCCCAACTTTTGAAAAAACTGCGTATGTACTTATCAAAGAATATTGTTGTGTTGTAGGTAGTTTTGTTACGTAATTGTGCACAAAAGAAGAAAACTATTGGACCCATCAATTTATCTAATTAAAAAGTCCGTTTCCCTTTATCTTATATTTATACTCGCACGCATCTATACTAATGCAAACATTATTGTGAGCAAACTGATAACGCTAACCCAGTTTCATATGTATATATTTATCTTACGTAAGTTCATTGACCTAGTGACAATGATCTACTTGTCTTTTCATTTTAAATTGGAATTTCTTTTGTTGCCTATTGGAATAAATGATTTTACGATTTAACTGCCACCACCACAACCATTGTTTAAATAAGATGATCAGCTTTTGTTGGTATAGGTATCTCAGTTATAAAATGAATATTTAAATAAATAAATAAAAAGACGTTTATTTATCCACAAAAGACACAAAGAAATATAAGCGAACAATTAAAACAAAAGAACAGTAATGTGGACAAAAAGGATGAAGAATTGGAGACTCGGCATTGCTGATTTTCAGCCTTCATTTTTTTATAACTATTCGCTTGCTGCATCAGATCGGCAAGCGGAGTGTATTGTGTACTAAACACGAAGCAATTAATAGATGCCACCTGTGTAGCACCATATGTAAAATGTATAAAAATTGAAATATTGTAATTAAAAAGAAATAAAAATTTTTATTCATCTAGTGTTGCTAGGGGATTTAACCACCGACCAATTGCTACCCACTTTGCACAGACAGGAACCATTGTTTACATATTTTTTTGAAAGAAAACGTTTTGGCATTTTGTAACGGAGGCGGCAGGTCATTCCAGCACTTTAAGTTACTTCACTTGTTTTATAGTATTGAAATTGTGTATATATACTACGTATTGGGTATAAATCCGATGATATGATACTGCAACCAAATAACTACCCAAGTCCTCAAATACTTACAATAGAACTATTGTGTTTGAGCTCATTAAATTGGTCTAGATCAGCTTACAGATGGTGACTTTATTGACCTTTTGGAGTACGCTGTGTTGTACTTCATCTTTATGTTAATTAACGAATATTAAATGGAATGAACTTACTACGAAGACACACGACGCATAACAAAACTAAAATGTACTAAACAAATAAGGCCTCTATACAATGCGTGAGCAACTCATCAGTTTCCTCACCGAATCCTGGTTATCCAAGCTCTTGAATGCATTCTGGTTGATCACCGTTCTGTCAGACTTCACAGTCATCTGAACGTCTTCATCCAAAATCACTTTCCCCTCCAAATACTTGTCAGCAAGGATCTTTGCGGCTTCGGATCTATCTTTGTCACCACTTGCTAAATCCTTTACAATGTTTCCAACTTCACCGACCCTTTTGACAAAATTATTCCACTCCTCGTTCAAAACTGTAGTTTCTTTATCGCCCATGACTGTTTGAACTATTGTTTTCTTCATATTGTTCGGTTTCGTTTTCTTTGTCATGTCTTTTTTAAACATCTCGATATAAGAATTATTTTTTCCGTGCGTAGAACAGTCGTATTTGTTTACCAAATGGTAATTGACGTAACACTATAAATAGTTACCGTTGCCATGGAGATTTCCGATATTATTCATTTGCTTTTTTTTGCATTTTGCGGTTTGTGCCACTGCAAAATGAGGAAACTTATTCACGGAAAATAATACAAAAGAAAAATAATTTTAAAGAAAGGATGAGGAAATAATGTTAATAGAAATACAATAGAAATGATAACAAATGTAAATATATATTAAATAAATTTATATTTGATACAATTTTAACTACCTCCGTGGCCGAATGGTTACCATACTGGACTGCCACGCAGAGGTCCCCGGGTTCGATTCCCGGGCCGGGAGAAATATTTGTATGGCCTACATTTATTTCTCTCGTGAGTTTGGGTGTAATTTGTGGTTGTCTATGTGTGTGTCCATGGTACCCGCGACACAGGGTTTCCCTAGTGCGGGGCTATGTTGAGTGTGTGCGTTATTATTATTATAATTCAAAGTCATAAACGAAGTCAAATATTTATAAATGTTAGGACTATAAAAATAAGGTTTACGATAGTAGGGGGAGCCCTAATCCAATAGAGAGGAGAACGTGGAAGAGAAATAAACACAGAATGAGATAGATAAACACTTTATTCACTAGTATGACACAAATACAGATCGAATACAGCCGGAAAAATAAAACATTTTTTGTAATAGCAGTGATATGGCGCTGACTGAGCACATGCCTATCAGTTCCCTAAGGCGCTGGTTTTCAGTCAGAACCAACGAGAAGAAGAATGATGAATGATGATGAACACCCACTGCTGGGTATAGGCCTACAGATAGTTCAGTATAATATAATTTAGATCTCTGATCTGTTCATACTCGCAACGAATGTGAAATGTAGATTATTATTTTTTTATGGTACCAAGTGACGGGACGAACAAGTCAAGCGCCTGGTGGTAAGTGACACGCCTATCCATAGCAGTTACAGTGCCACTCGGAGCTTTAAATCGCAAAAATCTAAGGGCACTGTCACTGCGCCCGTCACCCTGAGACATAAGTCGACAAGTTCCATGTGTTTGTAATTTCACCTTTATGTCGTGACGTTTTATTTGTCGTTGGACGACTGTCGCGTCTAACCTGCTACCCTTATCACGACTATCTGGCGTGACTATGTCGTGAAAGTTTATTTTATCGTCGAACGATTGAACGAGTCGTGTCTAGCTGTTCTCACTAGATCCTGACGACAATTTATCGGTCTTGTCGTTTGCACGACAGAATCGTTTGAAGCTACGATTATGTGTCGTCACATTTTTATCGTGACGTTTTATTTATCGTCATACGACTGTCCTTCTTGCTCTTACCATTATCACAACAGTCTGTCGTCGTAACGTCAAGAAAGTCGTGAACGACAGTTAATCGTGTTTTACTATACGTGAACAACTTCATTTAAATACACAAGCAACGACACTTTAAACTGCACGACTATCTGTCGTCACGACATAATGGGAACGCGCCCTTACCATTAAAAACAGCAACGCAATAATGCACACATTACTGTTTGGCGGCACAAATAGATAAGGTGGCAGTAATTCACTCGACAAACTTCTACCCAAGGAGCTCTACTGCTAGCTACTAAGTTTAGTTCCACAGGTAGGTGTGACGCTAGTTCTTTTGAATATCGTGATTACTATTTTATTATATTTAATTCTTGAAGGTTGGTTTTTACGGCCCCTACAGTAAGGCGTATTATTTTCTGCTATAATTGACACTAGTAAGCAGTTTATCAAGGCACAATTAATATGATTACGTTTTGAACAATATACGGTATTTGTTGACACACACTTACAATATGTTTGTTTTAAAGATCTGCTTTACTTTCAAGGCTATTGTACATATTTATTATATTAAAATTCATAAACAAGTGACGTTGCAATTGCACCTGTGTTATGCAAGTGTCGTTAAATCATTTGAACAGCTGTCAAAACGTTTAGGTGAAGCCACGGAGGTGTTTGTATCGTAGAAGCGCATAGGCACTCAGCCAGGTCTTTGGGAATACCATTATAATATGCTTGTTGTAATAAACATACGAATGTAGATGTAATGTAATGTGTTTGCGCTATTTGCTTTGCTATACTGCAGATGGTGAAAGAAAGGGATAACAGAGTACTATTTTAAAGCTTATTGTGTTTCCTTTGTAGTAGGTACATTACTTATGCTTATTAAATAACTTTGGTAATTAGTTTAAGTATCGGATATTATTACATTTTTATTTTACCCTAACTTTGTATACGCCAGATCCAGATAGAGAGAATTTAACGATGATTTTTTGACTGTACTATTAGCAAGGGTTAGCTAGTTTGCAGAGGATTGGTGCCGGTAATCGATGGCACTAATGACAGTAGTAATTAGGCTCAGGCTATGATCAAGCAATATTTGACCCTCGACGAGCGTCAAATATTGCTGCTTAGGGTATTTGATAAAATTACAAAACGTTCTGTTGTGTTTGCAATATACTTGACATTTTTGTTGGCGACCTCGACGGCCCAGCTGTTTGCAATGTACTGTACTGAATAAAGAGGTCGCGAATTTGATTCCTGGTACGAAATATTTGGAAAATGAACTTTTCTAAAGTGGTTTAGAGCCCTGTCGTGAATTTCGTTGCTCTGGTACCATAATACACAGAATTCGCCACTGTGAGACCAAGTAATTGGTGTGATTATCTTCGGTTCCATTTAGTAATCATTTTCCTATTAAGAAACTAATCATGTGTCGTTTGTCCTCAGTATTCACCCCACTGGGCTTCGTGCGTCTGTTCGGCGTCGTAAGCGCAGTGCTAGTGAAGCCGCAGTTCCTCCGAGATCTCAACGAAGAGTACTACGTGTACTCTTTCGAAGAAGATACACTTAAACGACGGATCAACAATGCGGTTGCCAGTGGTGAGAATTACATCATCATGCATTTCCACGCGTGGCTTAATGACCCTAGCTCATTACGCTCATCGTATACTTACGTAATTAGGCGGGATCACCCACAGTGATTCGGAAATACACACGGATGCGTGATTCACATCGACTTAGTGCGTGTATTGTAATAGGTTAGCGTTAGCATTATCTAATTGACTCTATGCTGACGATCGCATCGATCTTCATCGGTCTGTAAGTTCTGCAACAGAGTTAATAACTTATTTATTGAGTTTTTTTTTAGCGGCGACGAATGCCGAAAAGTCAGTACAAAGATCTATAACAAAAGCACATAGGACAATTTCAACGACTCGGTAACTGGACCCGTGGCTCAGATGGTTAGAGCAATGCAACGGTGCAGCATGGACGTGGATTCACGTCCCACCGGGTTGAGGAAATTTTTCTGTTGAAAATTTTCGTGTTCGATCTTTGTATTCATAATCAAAACAATAACTTCTTATCGAGTGACTGTGGGCGATAGTTGTTTATGTTCTCCATTTTCATTTTTCAGCCGTTACTATCCCACTACAGGGCAAAGACCTCCCTTCTTCTTCTTCTTCTCCTCTTCTTCTCCCTTTCCTTCTTCCGCGTATCGGGATTTAACGCCGCTACAGGCCAAGATCTCATACGAGCATCTGAGCTCGTCATGACCTCGCCATTTGGGACTTCCACGTCTCCTAATGCGATAGGTGGGATCCACTCCGAAGTGGTCTTTGCCCACAGCTCGCTTCACTTGCGGCAGACGAGCTCGGTCCAGTGTCGTTTCAGGCTGGCGGCTTTTTGTCCAACGTCAACGATTTGTGTTTTGGAGCGCAACATGCTGTTCCACACGAGATTTGACAGTTTTAATCCCAAGACTCTTCGCTACATGCCTCGCTGACACACCTCGAGTCCGGCCTTCTGACGATTCGTCAAAGACCAAGATTATTTAGTTTGTATTATTTTTTACGTTCATATGTGAAAGCTTTTAATTGGCAGGCGATTGTTTACATGGAATTGCACTGTAAAAACAGCTGTAAGCTCCCCAAATGAAAATAAATAAATGAGAGTAGGACAAAGTAATACATTTTTAAACAACGGCCGGAATTAGTAGTATACTTGAGGCCATCTTTTTTTTTGTTGTTGTATGGACTGAGCATAATATTGCCGCAGTTCTAATTGTCGTAATTTGGGACAATTATTTTTCAGACCAATGTATTTGCCAAAAAGTCCGTGCTGGTTTTGCCACTAGCTAACTAAAAAGTGTCTTAAAATTCACGAAAGAAGTAATTTTGATGGAACGTACAGGTTTATAATTAAAAATTGTATTTTTTATTTATTGATCCATGAAGTACATGGTATAGGGTTATGTGTGGTGAAGCATGTCGGGTAAATGACCTCCACGGCTTTGCTAGCATAGTCGCACACTATTCTGAAAGAAAGAAAGATTATTCATGACCACAACACAATGCAACCGAATACCAGAAAACGTAGGATGTAAGTGTTTTGATATAAACAAGTACATTCTTCGTTTTACCACAATTCTCGTGCTTGAGCGCGAGTTTAAATAGATTAAGTGAACTAAAAAGCTTTATTAAAACAAATAAGCAACGTAAAAAAGCTGCAAATTCGAAACATCATTGCGAATTCGCGTAACTCGTAAAACGTAGACATTATCTACCTACGCGAAATGTAGTAAACTAAAGCAATCAAGCGGATTATACTGTCGTAAAGACGAAAATGTAGTTTACGCAAAATGGAATTGTATAAGGTATAGGAAATGAAACTATTTTTCCGGATTTAAATCGCGTATATTTGTTTTTTCAAACAAACCGACGTTCGGGCCCTTTATAGGTCCCATGGTCACTGTTGACGTCGTCGGTTTGTTTGAAAAACCAAATCTACGCGATTTAAATCCGGGCAAATAGTTTCATTTCCTATGTGTAACTATCACGAAAATCTAAGAACTCGTTATGTATTAGGTATATGATTTATTTAATGTTATTCAAGGGGCGTTGATGGTAAATGTTTCGCTTATAAACAAAGGAATACACTTCAATTGTTCAGTTGAAATTTGTTAAAGCGAATTCACAGGGGCGCTGCCGGCGCATTGTGTCGTCGTATTGCAATGATTTCAACGTACTGAGTGCCACACGAGCAATGCGATGTCGCAACGTAACGCCTATTACTTACGCGCACCGCAGCAACCCTCCCCGCTTCGTCTTGTCCGATGCTTTCCGTCGTCGCGCGTCATTTCAACCACAGAACAATAAATATAGTAGAAGTGCTTAGTTTGCGTGTCACGTGTGCCAACAGTTCGCGGAGTTCCGCAAACTTGAGCCCAGTTTTTAGCTTTACACGTTATGGTCGTGTCAATTAACTCCGCAAAACCTCGAAAATCGTATAAAAATGCCTTATTTCGTTGGCTTAGAGTGCAAAAATGACAGTCGCATTTGTAATATTATATATCCAAGGATTTTCGTATCATCGTTAAGTCTTGTTTTGTTTAACTTTAATAAATTTTAAATTTTCTGTTTATCGTAATCATTTTAGTGTTACAAGAAATGAAAATACACCTTATAGGTATATACCGCTGCAATATGGTCGCTTCTTTTTTTAGATAATAAGTAACATCTCGAATTCGTCGTCGTTCAGCTATCAACAGCTAGATGGCAGCACATTGATTGAAATTTCAATATAAAATCAAAACGTAACTGCATTAATAGGTTTTGATGGATGGAATGTTCAATTATATGCCAACAGGGTAAAGTTTAAATTATATTAACAGTCCATAATTTGTTATTTCTTTTTCAATTTGAAACAACGACCAATTATTATCAAGATTTCATAGTGTTTCAAATTGTGAATGTGTGAGTTTTGGCGACAGCGGTTCTGATGGTAATCGAGGCTTAAAGCACTTCCATTGTTTTTTCTTCCGTTCTTTCAACGCACCTTATGATATGTAACGTTCTTTGAAGAAGTGGACATTTTAAATCCTCAGGCCGAAATATCAATTCAAATAGTGCGGGAATAAGTCGAATACACAGTCGCCGCTAAAGGGCCCCATATACAGACGATTCCTGATTTCGATCGAACGTCGCGATATTCGTATCGATCTGTCAATACTCCTTTGGCGTTCAAGTCAATTGTTAACGACATAAAACGTACACTATCGATTAATCTCTTCGATCAGTCTGAAACGGCGGATCGTTACGACAATCGTTCCTTATATTATTATTATGGCCTTGTCACTGACTACAACCCTATTCTATTTGCAAAGTTATGAGCGGTAGTTTTAGTATCGCAAATGTAGTGGTGGCATATACCTATGACTTTGACCTACTTCTTGAAAGATGCTTTCAAAATTATTGTAACCGACTTCAAAGAAGGAGGTTCTCAATTTGACTGTTTTTTTTTAGTGTACGGTACGTGATTACTATGGCATTTGTGAACCGATTTTAATGATTCCTTTTCCTGCTCTTAAATTTGAAGAATATATATTACACCTATATTCTCTGTCGTGTAAACTAGGGGGTGAATCGGGTTTCGCGCACTTTCCTGTAACCGATGTCAATAAAACTTGTCACTTTCAATAGATGTAACTCCAGAAACTTTTTAGGTCCGTTTTTATTTTTATAAAATTATTATTTGTTTTGCAAGGCTGCTAAATAGTTTGATGCGAGTGTTTATATTGAAACCTGAGCAAGCGAAGGAAGCTCAGATTGAACCACGAGGGAAGCGAGTCAAAAGTAGGTTCCTGAGCGTAGCGAGGGTTTCAAGGCACGAGACGCAAAACAACTTTGCTGCCGAGCGAAACATACAACTTTTCATCTCACTACTGCGAAGAAATGGTAGATGAACGAAAAACAGTTGAACTTTAAAACATTAGTTTTCAACTTCAACTTAACTGCCTCTGTGGCCGAACGGTTACCATGCCGGACTGCCACGCAGAGGTCCCGGGCCGGGAGAAATGTTTGTATGGCCTACAATTATTTCTCTCGTGAGTTTGGGTGTAATTTGTGGTTGTCTATATGTGTGTCCATGGCACCCGCGACACAGGGTTTACCTAGTGCGGGGCTATGTTGAGTGTGCGCGTTATTTATTATTTATTATTTTTGTATCTATGGCTCCGTCGTTTCGCCAACGTCAGGGTTGAATATCAGTTTTTGTAATTAAAACAAAAAGTTTATATTCGGATGCGTTCTGAATTTACACCTTATCAATTTTTATTCTTGCTTGTACTTTTATTTTATGTGATTAAGTGATTATTGAAATTATTTTAGTTCTTCGACGAATTTAAATAATTTAATAAACAAAATTAGTTATCATTGTCAATTTAATGTCAACAATAATAAGAATAAAATATACCAACGGATTTATGTTACATAAACATTGTAAGTCAATGTTTATGTAACATAAATCCGTTGGTTTAATCCGTTGGTAAATTATATGGACGTCGGGTCCGCGCTAAAAAGTGTCCAAACTTATAGGGCGTTAAAATCGTATACAGAGCGTCATTCACGCTTTAGTTTTCGTTTGTTCGACTGACGGCGTAGCAAGCAAAATTAGACAGTACTGCGATGACATTACAATTTAAATTCAACGTTTTAGCTTTTTCATATTCCTTTACATGTCACTACGTTTAAATAGGTTGACTTGGGACATTTTTTTCGTGGTTTTTGTATTAGACCCGTCGTCCATATAATTGTAAGTCAATGTACATAAATAAGTAATATACGACATATTGCGTAGTTGAACGTGCCGTTATTTTTTTTTTATTCACAATATACACATTAATCGAATAGTAACAACTCGGTGAAGGAAAACATCGTTATGAATCCTGCACGTCGAAAAAGGTTCACAACGAAGAGAAAACGGTGTTTGAATTTCCAACCCTCATTTGGCTGTCGTTTATTGTGATTACATTCATGACGGAATAGTGATTGGACTACGAAACCCTAAAAACGTAGTGTAATCTGTTGTTGGTCTGCAAATAG